TGTGCCCATCTTCCTCCACTTTATGTGGGACGCTGCCACAGCATGGCCCGACAAGCGGTGCGTCGGTGCGTCCCAGGATCCGAGCCCGGGATCCGAACCCGGACCGCCAGCAGCAGAGTGGGCGAGCTTAACCGCTATGCCACGGGGCCGGCTCCTCATTTGCTACTTTTTTTCTGATAACAAAAGTGCTAATTATTACAGAAAATAAGAGAAAACTACAGAAAAGAATACAAAATATATAATCACATTGCTCCAAAATAACTACTACAGCAGTCCCTCCTTATCTGCCCGAGATACATTCTAAGACCCCCAGTGGATGCCTGAAAGCATGGACAGTACCAGACCCGATATATACTATGAGTTTCCTATAAATACATACTTATGATAATGTTTAATTCATAAATTAGGCACAGTAAGAGATGAACAACAATAATAATAAAATAGAACAATTATAACAATATACTGTAACAAAAATTACCATAGATCTTAGCAACCTCAGCATATGATTCTTTTTCTTTCCTGATTAAGTTAAGAACTTTTACCTTTTCACCTACAGGAAGCACTTTATGGCTTTTCTTCGGCATATCTGAATTGCCAGCATCACTACTTTTGCACTTTGGGGCCATTATTAACTAAAATAAGGGTTACTTGAGCACAAGCACTGGGATACCGAGACAGTCATCTGATAACCTAGACCTCTACTAAATGACTAATGGGCTGGTAGCACATACGGCATGGATACGCTGGACAAAGGGATGATTCGTGTCCCAGGAAAGAGGGAGCTGATGGCAGAAGGCAGGAGATTTCATCACACTACTCAGAACAATGTGCAATTTAAAACATATGAATCGGGCGGCCCCATGGCTTAGCGGTCAAGTGCGTGAGCTCCGCTGCGGGCGGCCAGGGTTCGGATCCAGGGCACGCACTGACGCACCGCTTCTCCAGCCATGCTGAGGCCGCGTCCCACATACAGCAACTAGAAGGATGTGCAGCTATGACATACAACCATCTACTGGGGCTTTGGGGGAAAATAAATAAATAAATACATAAAATTAAAAAGAAAAACATATGAATCGTTTATTTCTGGAATTTTCCATTTAATATTTCGGACCCCGGTTGACTGCAGATAACTGAAACCATAGAAAACAAAACCGCAGATAAGGGGGGGTGGACTACCGTATTTACATTTTGGCATATATACGTAAATTTTTAAAATTAAGGATATTCTTTACCTCTTTTTTTAACATTTTTCAATTAAAATATCATGAACATTTTCCCTTATTAGTAAATATTCTCCTACATCTTGTTAATGGCTGCATAGTGGTTTATCTTATGGATATATCATAATTTATTTAACAATCTCCTGGTATTGGACACTTAAGTTGCTTCCCAGTTTTCACTATTATAATGATACTGCAAGTTATATCACTGTATTTAAATTTTATGCATTTATCAGTTCTTTTTCTTATGGAAAATTCCTTGAAGTAGAATTGTTAGGTCAAAGGTATAGGCATTTTAAAGACTTTTGACACTTATTTCCAAAAGCCCTCCAAAAAGTTTGTAGAAAAATGACATTTAATTTAACAGTTTTACTAGACATCTCTGCCAATTTGATAGGTGGCAAAAAAATCCATTATATTCTAATTAACATTTCTAATAGAAATGTTTTCTAATAGAAAAAATTCATTATATTCTAATTAACATTTCTTGGATTACTAGTGAAGTTTAAAAATACTACACCAGATGGTAAAAATATTTATAAGTTTTACAGGTCAACACCATTATTTTACAAAAACAAGGAATTTCACCTAACTAGAAACAAAGAACAAGGAATACTCTTTTCCCCACAACTGAAAAGGAAAAATAAAACAAAACAACCCAGTGAACTGAGAGCAGAGTGACAGTCAGTTGGAAGGGATAAGGTTTGCCCCTTGGAGAGATGCCAACAGCAGCACTGCTATGGGATATGGAACCTTGTACCAGCTGCAGGGTGGGGAGCTTAGCTTAACCTGGGACCTCTGAGGAAATGGAATCACCCCACGTTAGGAGCAGAAGCAAATTCTCTCTGGAGATAATTTCCCATAGGACTCATATCAGTGAGCTCACAATTAAAGTCACCAAAGGTGAGAATCAGCAGAAAACAGATTTAGACTACCACCAATTATAGATATTTAAACTATCAGATACAGAACCTGAACAGCAATACATGAATTATTTGAAAAAATAAAAGATGCAATTATAAGATGATTAAGCAAAGAAATTATCTAGAAATAACATGCAATTGTGAAAAAAATAACAAATGGAATGCCTAAAGATCATTAAAAAGGACCTTCTAAAGAATGTATTCTGGGAAAAGAAAAGTGATTCCAGAGGAAGGGCTGAGATACAAGAGGGAATAACAAGCAAATAAGTGGTAAATATATATGCAAATCCAAATGAACATTGTCTGTATAAAATAATAATTCTCATAACATCTAAGTTATTAAGTTTAAAAGACAGAACTAAAATGCAGAAAACAATAGCTTATAAGTCAAGTGGGGATGTGACCAGTAGTAAAGAGTTTTAAAGTCCTTTCATTATTCTGAAAGGCGTTAAAATATTTAAACTCAGACTTGCAAATATGCGTGATAAAATTTCAAGGGTAACCATCAGAAGAATAGATATAGGTTATAAATTTCAAAGAAGTACAGAGCGAAAAAAAAACCTCTCACCACCTAAAAACCAACAACAACAACAAAGAGGTAAGAAAGGAGGGAAAAAACAGGAAAAAAAGGACAAATAAAATATGTAAGATAGTATAAACACATCAAATAGATCAATAACTACACTAAATGCAAATAGACTAAACTTGCCAGTTAAAAAGGCAGGGATTATCAGATTGAGGGGGAGAGGGGGAATTCAGCTATAAACTGTTAACAAAAGATACACCTAAAGCATAAGGTCATGAAAAAGCTAAAAGTCAAAGTATGAAAAAAGATAAACTATGCAAATAATAACCAAAAGAAGGCTGGAATAGCTATACTAACATCAAACAAAATACATTTCTAGACAAAAAGTATCACTAGTGATATAAAATGTGACTACATAAGGATAAAAAGTTCAATTCTCCATGAAGACATAAGAACTCTAAAGTTTTATGTACCTCATAAAATATCCTCAAATTACATTTTAAAAAATGGAAGTACTACAGAGAGAAATTGACATATCCACTACTCAAAGAGATTCCACACATTTTTTCTCAATTATTGATGGGTCGAGCAAAAAAAATAAATCAGTAAAGATACAGAAATTTTGAACAAGTCAGATCTTATGGACACCTATAGAAGTTGGCACCTTCTGTTAGAGAATATACATTCTACTCAAGCACCCACGAAACACTGTAAAAACTGATCATAAAGGCCACAAAGCAATTATTAACACCAAAAAAAGCGGAGACTTGAAAGAGGTATGGAAGCTCACCATACACTCCAGTCTTCCCTTTAAGAAATATAAAGCTCACCTCCTTCAGGAAGTCTTCCTCAATCACCGGGTGCACACTGATTTTTCCCCTCCTCTAGCACAGACACCACTGACTGCAGTCCTCAAACTGGCACTTAAGTACAGCTTCTTTTCATTTTATTTAATGTATACATGAGTAGTCGAGTAGTCCTCCCTTACCCGTAGTTTCACTTTTTTTGGTTTCACTTCCCACACTTTCAGTTACCCAAGGTCAACCATGGTCTGAAAACGTGAGATGGAAAATTCCAGATATAAACAATTTGTAAGTTTGAAATTTCGTGCCAGTTCTGAGTTGCCTAGCGGCCTGCCTGGAACATGAATCATCCCTTTGTCCAGTATATCCACGCTGCAAACACTACCTACCCATTAGCCTGTCAATTAGGAAAAAACATAGTATATATAGAGTTGAGTACTATCCATGGTTTCAGGCATCCACTGGGGATCTTTGAATCCCTCCCCTCGGATAAGGGGGGACTACTGTAATCTCTATTTTATACATGGATATATTGATCTCCCCCAAAGAAACCGCACACTTTGAAGTAAGAACTGCATCTAAGTCAATTTGTTTTGCTCTTACAAATGAGCACAGAGCAGCCATGACTAAGTAGAGAAATGAACAAGCATCATGTTAGGTACAGAAAAGACCAAAATTAAAGAAGGGCACCAGGCAAGAAGGGAGCACTCCCTTTGGAGTTCTTCATTTCACAGATTAGGCCCAGTCCTCTAGATGTGGACAATTTAGGCTCCGTCCCTGGATAAGAAGACTTGTCCATGGACAACATGTACATCAGAGGCAATAGACCTAGAGATGAATCCTGGCTCCACCATTTAACAGCTTGGTGAACTTTACACGTCTCTACACCTCACTGAGCCAGTTGCTTCATCTGTAAAATGGGAATAATATCCACTTCTCACAACTGTTGTGAGAATTAAAAGAAAAATCAATGTTGAGTATATCTAGCATGCAGTAAGTGCTCCATAAATGTTGGTTTCCTTCTTTCCTAAGGAAGAAAGAGGAACTTATCTTTTTCCTCAAGAGTAGACACCTTCTGGACTGAAAAACAAAAACTGCACCTCACCTGGGAATTGGTCATCTCTTCTTCCTCTTGGGCAAGGTCAGGGAGTTAAGGAGGCAGAGCTGGAGGAGAAAGGAGCCATGAGACACCAAGCCTGCCTTGCAGCTTGCAGAGTGGCCAGCTGGGACAACTGTTTCTGCCCCGCCTGAACTATTCCCTCAACCACCCTGCCCTACAATGCCTTCTCTTCTCCACCCTATAGATTGTTCACCATCTCAGGTAAATCGTCTCCCCTCTATTCTGAGTCAAAACCTCCATGGTCTCTCCCTGTTCTCTGAAAGTGGCCACCTGATCCAAGCCTTGCTAAGTAACCTCTGCAGCCCCAGCAGCTCCAGAACCCCTTCCACCTCCAGACTCCAGCCTTGGCTCATAGTTTTGGCAGGAGGCCTCAGGTCACAGGTGTGTCCTCTCAAGATGGGTACCAGCTGCCTGTGGAGCTGCAGCCTTCATTCGTAAGAGCATGGCTTATTCCTATGGGCTCAGGAACAGCTTTTTCTTGGCTGGCATTTTTCTCCTGGGCCCCAAATCTCTGTACCCCCAGCCAGAGTCCCACAGTCGGAAACCCAGCTAGGCTCAAAGTTACACTAAGCTCCTCCCTGGATACATACCTGGAGGAACTCAGGCTAGGGACCTCTGGACACTGGGATTGCAAAGCAGGCGACTAAACACTTAAGGAGAAACCTGAGGCACCAAAGCGTGGAAGCACCCTGCACACACCGCTCCGTGAGGGGAGATACGCGGCGGACCCGCTGCTATCCAGGGATCGCGGCCCCGATTTGGGGTGCTCACAGCCAGGAGCAGCGGGGCACAGGGCTGCGAAGACAAGGCTGGAGTCTGAAGGAGAAAGGGACCCTGAAGTCTTTCGGGTAAAGTAGTCCTCCCTTACCCGTAGTTTCCACTAATGCTCCTGCCTGCGGTGAGTAGAGCTGGGTAAAGTGACCACTTTAGAGAACCTGGAAGCATCCGACCCTCCACAGCCAAATCGCGGGCGCCACACTTTTTGGGACCATTGCTCCAGGAGCCCCAGATTTGGGGTTTCAAGTCCCTCAATCTCACCCTCACTCTGGCCCTCTGATCACCATCTCCCCGCTGACCTAGGAGCGCCTCCAGTCTTGCCGCGAGTAACCGCGGGCGCTGCGAATAGCCGCCGAGTCTCACCTGCCCTGAACCTGCATGCAGGGCCAACTCCGCCGCCCGGCCGCACTGCGCCTGCGCGGAGTGGGCTCGCGGCACCTCCCACAAGCCCGTGCGGCGCGCCGCTTCGGGCCACTCGGCTGCCTCCTGGGTTACTTGTGCCGCCGGACGGTGCTGCGCTCGCTTTCGCGGTGTGGCGTGTGGAGACTCCACTTTCAGCCTTGCCAAGGGTAGAAAAATCACTTTTTAATTTTATTTCCTGGGATCCTATAATGGGAGTGCCGACAGCCTCCTTCCTTCCGAGGTAGAAGCTCGGGCTGTACGGCGGAGCTCCAAGCGCGGCGGGCGGGGATGACTTCTTCCCCTCGCACTTCGGAGTCTGGCTGCTTAGGGGTTGGGGACTCAGAGAGGGGAGAGGGACTGGTGTCTCTCACTTGGCCTGTGGCCCCCCTGGAATGCCACCGCACAGGCGCTTCCGGGCGGGCAGGCGTTCTAAGGCGGGGTCCCCAGGGGCTGGTATCTGCGGCCCTCCCGCGCAATTCTCTGATGGGTAGCTCCACCCCAGTGTGACCCGTTCCAACCCTCTGGGTCCATCCCCCGCCCCCAGGTAGTGTACTTCACGTGGTGTCCACTTGGCCGCCCCTCTGTCTGCGTTGCTGTTTCTATACAGGCTTTCAAGCTGCTTCTTGCAAGTAGCCCCAGTCTCCATGGGGGAATCTCTTGGAATCCTTCTCATTCGATTTTTGGAGAGAAATACCAGGGCATTCTCCTCCAGGGCTGATTCAAGACTCTTCTGATTCCCACTCCTCCCCTCCAGCCAATCTTCTAGTTATATGAGGTTGTGGGTGTGGGTGGAGCAGGCCTGGGAAGATGGCTGAGGATAGAGAAATTGGTTTGGTCACCTTGTAATAAGTCCTGGAAGTGGAGAGGTTGCCTGGCCCACAATTATTTGTGGCTCTTTTTATAATGTAGAGTATTTGATGGTCCTCACTTGTTGATCCACGTTTCCATTCCTGGGCTAAAGGACAAATCCTGCTTAAGATCTGTTAGAGTTACATCACGTTCTGCACATGGATGTATCAAAAATTGTAAACTGTTCTACCATTGTTGAAACTGTAGCTGTGGTAGTCAGCACCATTCGCAAATATTCTGGGTTTCCTCTTCTCCTAGTAGGTGGTAGAATTGCAATTTCCCATTTCTTGGAAGTTAGTGGTGACAATGTGACTTGTTTGGCCACACAATATGAGCAATGTAATGTGTAGTATTGTAATGTAAAGTGTGCCACTTCCAAAAGGAATCTTTTAAGAGCTAAGGCACAATTTGTCATGTTTCTTTACCCTCTGCCCCAGAAATTGTAATGTTCAGTGTGGCAGGCAGCCTCTAAAATGGCCTCCAATGATCCCTTCTCCTGATATTCAAGCCCTTATAATCCCCTCTCCTTGAGTGTGGGCTGAACCTAGTGACTTGCTTCTAAGGAACAGAATATGGCAAAAGTGATGGGATATCACTTCCAAGATTAGGTTACAAAAAGACTCTGGCTTCCATCTTGCTTGCCCTCTTTACCCTCCCTCACTCCCTGACTCTAAGAGCAGCCAGCTGCTTTGTTGTGAGCTGTTCATGTGGTACATGGGGAGGTCTGTGTGGCAAAGAACTGATGTCTCCCGCCAGGTAGGACCTGAGGGCTGCCAACAGCCACGTGAATAAGTTTGGAGGTGGATCTGCTGAGGCCTGCCAGTCACCACATAAGTGAGCTTGGAAGCATGTCCTTCCCTCAGTTGAGCCTTGAGATGACTGCAGCCCCAGCCAACACCTCAGTTGAAATCTTAGACCCTGAGCCAGAGGATCCAGTAAAGCTATGACCAGATTCCTGACCCACAGAAATTGTGAGATAATAATTGTTTGTTTTCAGCTACTAAGTGTTGGAGTCATTTGTTATGCAGCAGTAGATAACAAATACGTTCAGGATGATTCCAGAGTGAGGCAATGTGGAGTTGAGTCCCCAGCCTGTCCAGTATGGGCATGTGTTATGGGTGAGAAAGAAATCTTTTTTATTATAAGCCACTAAGTAGATTTGAGGGTTGGTTGAGTACTGCACTAAGCTATGCAACTGTAAATAACATAATGATAAACATCTTTGTACATAAGTCATTTACCAAGTTTCTAATCTTAAGACAGATTCTTAGAAATGGAATTGCTCAGTCAAGTGGTATGAAGTTTTAAGACTTTTAATGCACATTACCAAATTATGGTCCAAAAGGTTATGCCAATTTACATTTCTACCACTGAGGAGGAGTTTGATTCACCAAACCCTGACCAGTTTATTTGCCTTGCAATCATAAGCATATATGTTGATGTAAAAACCTGTTCATTCCCCCTTCCTAAGTATTTTTTAAATATGATGCTTTCTATCCCCCAGTACCACAGTCTTGGTTGAGGCCTTCATCATTCCTTATGTGGCCCACTGCAATATTCTACTACTGGTCTTGCTTTCTCTAATCAATCTGCCACACAGCTTGCCTAAATGATCTTTCAAAAAATATTAACCTGATCATTATTCTCCTGCTTGAACTACTTCAATGCCAACCCCTGTATTAGTTACAGTAGACTAAACTGCTGTAACAAATAAACCTTATAATGCATTGACTCAGGAAAAATAGAAGTATATCTCGTCTTCATTTCACAGTCCAGGGAGGTGGTCCATGTTGATGGGCAGCTCTTTTCTGTGTGGTCATTCAGTGACTATCTTTGTCCTTTCAGGCTGCTATAACAAAATACCATAGAACAGATAACCTATAAACAGAAATTTATTTCTCACAGTTCTAGAGGCTAAAAGTCTGAGATCAGGACACTAGCATGGTCGAGTGAGGGCCTTCTTCTGGGTGGCAGACTTCTCCTTGTATCCTCAAATAGGGGAAAGGGCTAATTAATTCTGTGGGGCCTCTTTTATAAGGGCACTAATCCAGTCATGAGGACTCTGCCTTTATGACCTAATCATCTCCCAAAGATCCCACCTCCTAATACCATCACCTTGAGCATTAGGTTTTCAACATTTGGATTTAGGGGAGGCACAAATAATCAGACCATAGCAGTGACCCAGACTGACAGTGGCTCTGCCTTCTTCAACACATTGCTTCCAAAGTTGCTCTGGCTGACACATTCTAGTCCCAGAGGAGCATCTCCACTACCACTTTAGTCCAATACACCATCATCTCTTGTCTGGACTCCGAGGCAATTGCCTCTTAACTGGTATCCCTGTTTGCCCTCTTGCCATTCCTGTAGGAATATATTCCCTACATTCATCCAGAGAGAACTTTTCAAAAGTAAATGAGACTATACCACTTCTGCTCAAAATCTTCAAAGCCTCCTCTTTAGGTGTCCTGAGACCCAGTTCTAACATGTGTGTGTGGTTGGTGGGGGAGAGGGTCAACACACCAACAACAGGCAATGCTTCAACACCACCTTGGTGTCCTACAATCCACCTCAACTCTGACACTACCCAGAGATAGTGTCAGATTCCACCGGTTAAGGGTTCAGTACTATAAGACTTCCCCCTACCCGCCCACTTCAAAGGTCAGTTACAAGATCAGGTTGTTACCTGTACTTCTGACCAACTGGCTATAAATTAGAGGTTCCCAAGACCCCTTCCTTGGGTTCAATTAACTTGCTGGAGTGGCTCACAGAACTCGGGAAACCTGTTTACTTACTAGATTACCAGTTTATTATAAAAAGATATAACTCAGAAACAGCCAGATGGAAGAGATGCATAGAGCAAGGTATGGGGAAAGGTCTCAGAGCTTCCACACTCTCTCTAAGCTTGCCACTCTCCCGAAATCTCCATGTGTTCACCAACGTGGAAGCTCTCCAAACTCTGTCCTTTTGGGTTTTTATAGCGGCTTCATTACATAGACATGATTGAGTAAATCATTGGCCATTGTCAATCTCTAGCCCCTCGCCCCTCCCCAGTGGTGGTGGGGGAGGAGGGGACTGAAAGTTCCAACCCTCTAATCACATGGATGGTTCTCTTGGCAACCAGCCCCCCATCTAGGTTACCTAAGGACTTTTCAGAAGTCACCAATGAGGTGACACCTCATAACAAAAAAGGTGTCTTACAACAAAAGACACTTTTATTTCTCTTATCACAGGAAATTTCAAGGATTTTAGAAGCTGTGAGCTAGGAACTGTGGATGAAGACCAAATATATATGAGAAATATATTTTGATCATCTGAATGACCAAAATATATTTTTTACAAATCACAATATCACACCTTCCCATCACATTTAGATTGAAATCTCACATAATCTGGCACCTGTCTAATGCAGAAAACTCATCTCCGCTTCACTGCTCCAGCCACACTGGACTTCTTGCTGATACTCAACAGGCCAGACTCAGTCTTGCCTCAGGACCCTTGCATGATCTTTCCAAGTCTCCCTCCATCACTGCATTCAGGTCTCTGTTTAAAGGTCTCCTCTTTCCAGAGGACTTCCTTGGCCACTCTATCTTAGTTTCCTATCACATTCAATCTCCTCACAGGTTTTTAAAAATATTTGAATTATTAATATCTGAGATTACATTTGATTATTGTTTTTTGAGTTCTCTGAGTGCTGCTATCTTGCCTTTTTTGCTCACTGCTATATAATCAGTATACAGTCAGAACAGGGGTCAGCAGTCTACACCCTGAGGACCAAATCTGGTTTGCTGTCTGTAAATAGTTTTATTAGAATACAA